GTGGAGTGGACTCGCACCTTCCAGGAGCCGCCGGAGCCGGGGTGCTTAGCGAACCGCGGGCAGCAGCCAGGCGCCGTCGCCTTGCGGGTCTGTCCTCAGTACGAAACCGGACTCTCCAAAGAGACCAGCGTGAAGGTATCGCCGGGCTCTGGCGCAGCTCTGCACGGCTACCACCCCGCTCAGGCAGGGTCTGGGGAAGCACTCGACGAGGGGCTCTCTGCCCCCAGGCCTGAGAATGCTGCCCCATAGCGAACCGCGGGCAGCAGCCAGGCGCCGTCGCCTTGCGGGTCTGTCCTCAGTACGAAACCGGACTCTCCAAAGAGACCAGCGTGAAGGTATCGCCGGGCTCTGGCGCAGCTCTGCACGGCTACCACCCCGCTCAGGCAGGGTCTGGGGAAGCACTCGACGAGGGGCTCTCTGCCCCCAGGCCTGAGAATGCTGCCCCAGCCCATCCTCCCCTGCAAGCGTCTCCTGCTGTGTGGCACGCCCACGCACGGCTGGCTGGCGCCCTGTCCCAGCAGCAGCCCCCGCCCCGGCTGCACTGAGGGGCAGCCCGGACGCTAGAGACGGTGGGAGAGCAAAAGCACAAGGCCGGGTAGCCCGGCCTGGGCTCTTCACCATGTGCGTGGCCTTGCCGGGAGCTGGGCCTGGTGGACGTGCTGTGTCCAGGGAGCTCACTTCAGCCGGGGCAGCCTCTTCCCTCCCCCTTGTGCTTCACTCCCCACAGGCCACAGCCTCCCTCCCCGCACCCGGGAGTGCAACATGGTGTCCTGGGTCACCATTCCCACAGGGTAACTTGAGACGCTGTCCCTCACAGTGATCCCATGGTATATCCTGGCTCCCCGGCCCCTCCCCCGGCCTTCCCGCTCTTTGTCCCGGCTCCCCGGCCCCTCCCCCGGCCTTCCCGCTCTTTGTCCCGGCTCCCCGGCCCCTCCCCCGGCCTTCCCGCTCTTTGTCCCGGCTCCCCGGCCCCTCCCCCGGCCTTCCCGCTCTTTGTCCCGGCTCCCCGGCCCCTCCCCCGGCCTTCCCGCTCTTTGTCCCGGCTCCCCGGCCCCTCCCCCGGCCTTCCCGCTCTTTGTCCCGGCTCCCCGGCCCCTCCCCCGGCCTTCCCGCTCTTTGTCCCGGCTCCCCGGCCCCTCCCCCGGCCTTCCCGCTCTTTGTCCCGGCTCCCCGGCCCCTCCCCCGGCCTTCCCGCTCTTTGTCCCGGCTCCCCGGCCCCTCCCCCGGCCTTCCCGCTCTTTGTCCCGGCTCCCCGGCCCCTCCCCCGGCCTTCCCGCTCTTTGTCCCGGCTCCCCGGCCCCTCCCCCGGCCTTCCCGCTCTTTGTCCCGGCTCCCCGGCCCCTCCCCCGGCCTTCCCGCTCTTTGTCCCGGCTCCCCGGCCCCTCCCCCGGCCTTCCCGCTCTTTGTCCCGGCTCCCCGGCCCCTCCCCCGGCCTTCCCGCTCTTTGTCCCGGCTCCCCGGCCCCTCCCCCGGCCTTCCCGCTCTTTGTCCCGGCTCCCCGGCCCCTCCCCCGGCCTTCCCGCTCTTTGTCCCGGCTCCCCGGCCCCTCCCCCGGCCTTCCCGCTCTTTGTCCCGGCTCCCCGGCCCCTCCCCCGGCCTTCCCGCTCTTTGTCCCGGCTCCCCGGCCCCTCCCCCGGCCTTCCCGCTCTTTGTCCCGGCTCCCCGGCCCCTCCCCCGGCCTTCCCGCTCTTTGTCCCGGCTCCCCGGCCCCTCCCCCGGCCTTCCCGCTCTTTGTCCCGGCTCCCCGGCCCCTCCCCCGGCCTTCCCGCTCTTTGTCCCGGCTCCCCGGCCCCTCCCCCGGCCTTCCCGCTCTTTGTCCCGGCTCCCCGGCCCCTCCCCCGGCCTTCCCGCTCTTTGTCCCGGCTCCCCGGCCCCTCCCCCGGCCTTCCCGCTCTTTGTCCCGGCTCCCCGGCCCCTCCCCCGGCCTTCCCGCTCTTTGTCCCGGCTCCCCGGCCCCTCCCCCGGCCTTCCCGCTCTTTGTCCCGGCTCCCCGGCCCCTCCCCCGGCCTTCCCGCTCTTTGTCCCGGCTCCCCGGCCCCTCCCCCGGCCTTCCCGCTCTTTGTCCCGGCTCCCCGGCCCCTCCCCCGGCCTTCCCGCTCTTTGTCCCGGCTCCCCGGCCCCTCCCCCGGCCTTCCCGCTCTTTGTCCCGGCTCCCCGGCCCCTCCCCCGGCCTTCCCGCTCTTTGTCCCGGCTCCCCGGCCCCTCCCCCGGCCTTCCCGCTCTTTGTCCCGGCTCCCCGGCCCCTCCCCCGGCCTTCCCGCTCTTTGTCCCGGCTCCCCGGCCCCTCCCCCGGCCTTCCCGCTCTTTGTCCCGGCTCCCCGGCCCCTCCCCCGGCCTTCCCGCTCTTTGTCCCGGCTCCCCGGCCCCTCCCCCGGCCTTCCCGCTCTTTGTCCCGGCTCCCCGGCCCCTCCCCCGGCCTTCCCGCTCTTTGTCCCGGCTCCCCGGCCCCTCCCCCGGCCTTCCCGCTCTTTGTCCCGGCTCCCCGGCCCCTCCCCCGGCCTTCCCGCTCTTTGTCCCGGCTCCCCGGCCCCTCCCCCGGCCTTCCCGCTCTTTGTCCCGGCTCCCCGGCCCCTCCCCCGGCCTTCCCGCTCTTTGTCCCGGCTCCCCGGCCCCTCCCCCGGCCTTCCCGCTCTTTGTCCCGGCTCCCCGGCCCCTCCCCCGGCCTTCCCGCTCTTTGTCCCGGCTCCCCGGCCCCTCCCCCGGCCTTCCCGCTCTTTGTCCCGGCTCCCCGGCCCCTCCCCCGGCCTTCCCGCTCTTTGTCCCGGCTCCCCGGCCCCTCCCCCGGCCTTCCCGCTCTTTGTCCCGGCTCCCCGGCCCCTCCCCCGGCCTTCCCGCTCTTTGTCCCGGCTCCCCGGCCCCTCCCCCGGCCTTCCCGCTCTTTGTCCCGGCTCCCCGGCCCCTCCCCCGGCCTTCCCGCTCTTTGTCCCGGCTCCCCGGCCCCTCCCCCGGCCTTCCCGCTCTTTGTCCCGGCTCCCCGGCCCCTCCCCCGGCCTTCCCGCTCTTTGTCCCGGCTCCCCGGCCCCTCCCCCGGCCTTCCCGCTCTTTGTCCCGGCTCCCCGGCCCCTCCCCCGGCCTTCCCGCTCTTTGTCCCGGCTCCCCGGCCCCTCCCCCGGCCTTCCCGCTCTTTGTCCCGGCTCCCCGGCCCCTCCCCCGGCCTTCCCGCTCTTTGTCCCGGCTCCCCGGCCCCTCCCCCGGCCTTCCCGCTCTTTGTCCCGGCTCCCCGGCCCCTCCCCCGGCCTTCCCGCTCTTTGTCCCGGCTCCCCGGCCCCTCCCCCGGCCTTCCCGCTCTTTGTCCCGGCTCCCCGGCCCCTCCCCCGGCCTTCCCGCTCTTTGTCCCGGCTCCCCGGCCCCTCCCCCGGCCTTCCCGCTCTTTGTCCCGGCTCCCCGGCCCCTCCCCCGGCCTTCCCGCTCTTTGTCCCGGCTCCCCGGCCCCTCCCCCGGCCTTCCCGCTCTTTAGCCGGGCGCGTCTCCTCGCAGTGTAGACACCCCAGGAGCGAAGCGCCCCGGCCGGGGGCGGGGCGGGGGGGGCTGGCCAGCGAGTCACGTTTCAGACTGGCCCAAAGACAAGGCAGGGCAGGTTCGCCCCCAGCTGCAGCCCCCGCCCCCGCACATGCGTCACATGGTGAGTCACTACGTCCGCTCGCTGGCCAGGGACCTGCCCGGGACATCGCCCCCTGACCCTCTGTCTCTCCGCAGCTGCACGTCACCGCCCAGACGTCGGCGGGAGAAGTGGTGAAGCTGGTGGTGCGGGAGATGAACCAGGCCTCCCGGGACGTGCTGGGCAGTGCGGAGGCCTTCTGCTACGGCGAGGACCAGCTGCCGCACTTCGGACTGGTGTTTGTGTCGGACGAGATGGAGCAGTGGCTGCCCGACGACGTCTTGCCCCTCTCTCTGCACACGGCCTGGCCGGAGGGGCAGTTCCACGTCCGCATCAGAGAGACATCCCCGCTTCGGTTCCAGTACGGGCCGGCCACCACCGTATGAGAGGAGGGGAGCGGACAGGCGCCATTAGAGGAACCTCAACTTCCACTGAGCAAACAGCTCGCTCCAATGCTTCCTTCCTCCTGCAACGCCCTCGTCAGGCCCCCCCAGCGGGCTGGGCCCGTGCCAGGCTGTGTGGTGTTGGTTGTGTGGCTTTAGCCAGAGACACATGGAGACTTGGCTGGGCTGATGGCGAGCGACGGGGGTGGAGCCCAGGAGACGTCTCAGCCCCTGGAATGAAATGTGGGGGCAGAGTGAGTGGGAGAAACTCACGCAGCAGCAGCAGCAGCAGCAATACAGCCCCCTGCCCCCGAAGGGAAAGCCAGTGCTTGCAGGCGGAGTGGGGTGCTTACAGAGGTGTTGCCAGGAGGACTGTTGTGTCAACTGTCCTAGTTTCTGTACCTGGAGAAACACATAATGGGAACCAAACGATTTCCCCCCTTTAAGAATAGAACCGGAGACACTGGGGCTGGATGGGAGCCGGGTGTCCTTTTTACTTGTTTTAAAGCAAAAGGAACCCCCCACAATTGCACGCACCCGCCCACGCGTGCACACACGCACACACACATTGTCACTACGGGGGTGCTACTGCGCATTTCCCACAATGTGCTCAGCACTGCAGTTGGGTTTTCTTTCTTTCGGTTGCCGTTTTGTTCTGGTGACTGTGATTGGCCTCTCTTGTGTGTCCAGTAGCATGATGTTTTGTTAACGACTAGGTCTCTTGTTAACCAAGGGTATTCTTTTGAACGCCTGTGATCCCTAGTAAAGACAGCTGTGTTGCTGAGACTGTCACACTTTTCGTTCTCCTGGCTAATCTGTCCCTAGCCCGCATCACTGGACGAAGTTCTGAACTGAACTCTGGATTGCCCCACGCGCCCGCTGGTTAGGGGCATTGTCAGCTTACGTGAGGGTTACATTGTGACCACGGGGAGGGGAGCTCGCTCGCTCGCTCACTCGGCAGGACCAGACCCCCATGGGAAATGTTTGTCTGGGTTTGGTTGTTTTGCAATTCAGCGGAAGGCAGCCTGGCCTGGGAATTAAGCCACTGAACTGCTAGAAACCTTCTCCCAAGGGCATTGCGGTGGGACTGAGGCTCCAAGGGCGGAAACGTCCAGTGACACTAACTCCTCGCAGGCCCTGGCCCACACTGCCCAGCACACAAGGAAACCAGAACTTCCCGACTGGGCAGTCACTCAGACGGCAGACCCCTGTGCAGTAATTAGCAGAAGGTGTAATTAGTCACAGGGTTGGGAGAATATGATGTCTAGGCTGCCAATGCCCCTCTCTTCCCCCTCTGTGTTCCCCTAGGCTAGGCCCAGACCCTGTACAGCCCCAGGGGCCACACAGGCAGCCCGCACTGCAGGGCGGATGCAGGCGTTCTGAGGTCTAGCCGATGCTGAACTGGGCTTGGGAAAAGCCCGCAGCACGGCGCAATGCGAGCCCTGCACCACCGACCCTCCCAGCCAGGCGGGGAGGGGAGGGGAGGGGAGGAAAGGGGAGGGCTTGGCGCAGCTCCCCGCTGGGTGAATAGCTGGAGCCAGGTTTGCCAAGGATCCGGCCTGGGGACACTGGTGGGATTTACAGACAGTCTGCCCGTGGAAACAAGCGTGGCGTGCCTGTCTCCTTTTGCCCTGGCAGACATCTCTCAGTAGGTCACAGCTGGCCCCCGCTTTCCTGGCCGAGGGGGAGTGGAATTCTTGGTATCAGAGTTCTTTGAGTAGAGTCCTTTGCGGTGCGCCATGTCAGGTGTGCACATGCCCCATGTGCCTTCGATCACAGATTTTTGGAAGCAGTGCCCATTGGACCCTGGCGCACGTACGCATGAATTCATGCCCCATACTGAAGCTCTACTGGGCTGCTCAGGAGCGCCGCCCTTAGTTTCTTCTCATCTGCGAAGTCCTGCAGAAGACGCCCCAGACAGGAGGGAAGGAGGACAGGTCTTGGAGCAAACGCGGGGCAAACATCTCCAAGAACTCCCGTCACTGGTCCAGGTGTTTTTCCGTATCGAAGAATCTACTGAAAGTGTGCTCTGCATTTTACACCCGCCAAGGCAGCCACCTCCCGCTGTTTGTCCCGAAAGCCCGTCACAAGGGCGGGCGCATGGGCAGAGGGAGGGCCTTAGCTATCTCCGAACCGAACCGAGCCTTCTCATACGCCTCCAGGCTATTCATCTCAGTAACTGACAGATCCAAAATCGCCACCCAGAGACGAGTGAGGGGGAGTTCTCGGGCTGAGTCTGGCTGAGCCCAGCCTTGCCCTAAGGGGCCATCGCGTGAGCCCGAGAGCTATCTCCACGGCATGACTTACCCGTGGCCCCGTGGCTGAGACCTCACCGTCAGCGCGTACCTTCTCCACGCCTAGCAGAGACGCTGCCTGAGGGAGTGGCGTCGCGCCTTCAGGACGGGGTGCACTCCGGCGCCCCTCCTTCCACCACAGGCACTGCCAGGAAGGCCCCGGCCGCCCAGCTCCCCGGCGCCCGTCACACCTCTCCAGTGACTGCTCAGCCCCCGAGGCACGTGCAGAAGCGAGGCGGGGAAATCAGGCTCAGGGCTCTTCGGTGTCTTTCTCACAGTCCGTGTCACAGCAGGGCGTTCCTGACCCCCAGCTCTGTGCTCCGCCCATTGGCCCGTGCACATGTGCAAAAGCGTCCGTCTGCAGGCAGTTGTGCCGAGACATTCTAGCCTGGCCCAGGGACCCTGCCTGCCAGGGGCTGCTGTGAGCGTCAGCTGGGGCATATTTGCAGGGTGCGGCTGCAGGTGGGAGCAGGGGAAGGCTGTTCTCACTCATGCTTTAAAATGGGAGTCTCTTGAGTGCGTTTGCGCCTTTGTCCCCTGCCCGGAGGCCATGCACGTGGGCTGCACCGACTGTGAAGACAGCAATGCCCCCATGGACCCCTCCAGGAGCCAGCCAAAGATGGCAGCGGGGGAGGCGCCTGGCCGAGCGGTTGCTCAAGGCTCCCAGGAGCAGGGGACCACGGAGGCTGCACCACAGAAGCAGCTGTCCATGGAGCTGTCACACTCAGCCGCGAGCTCGCAAAGCCACGCAGGGCAGCCAAGCCCCCGCTTTCAGCTGTGACACTTGCAGGAAAAGCCTCGGCTGGACTCTTCGCCCGAAGCCGCGGGAGACCTGAACGGCCCTGCCCTGGAGATGGGGCTCGCTGCAGCGCATGTGGCTGGAGCGTGCTCTCTGAGCTCGGGAAATGCCCCTCTCCCTGCGTGCCCTCGTGCGCCTCGCCTCACCAGGCCGCTGCGCCAAGGCTCCTGTCACGAGGGCCCGAGGTGTGTGCAAGCCGCCCGTCCTGCACAGCCAGGCAGTTCGACACCAGGAAACACAATAGTCTGCCCTGCCATTGCTAGAGCCAGCTCCAAGTAATGTGTGGAAGTCACAAGCAAACTGGGTTCAAAATCAGCCTCCAAAGCCCCTCCTGTATCTGGAAGGCGCGAGCTAGCAAGGGCTGCTCTGGGCCAGGGCGCAGCCGCTGGGACGTGGGGGACGTGATCCGGTACGCGTGAACGGTGAGGCTGGACAGCAGAGCTGAGTGCGGGCCCCGGCGCAGGACAGCAGAGGACGCCGCAGGCAGGGCTACAGGTTGCCGTGGGAGAGTTCGGGGGCAGAATCCTGCAGACACTCACGCAGCAAGCGGGCGCGTCCGGCAGCAAGTCAGCGCAGCTCTACAGCCGTGGACCTGCACTGCGGCACTAACAACGGCTCTGTGGACACTGGGGCCGGGGCCAATGAACCTCCCCCCGTCTTGCTTCTGCAGAGCCTGCGCTGCTCCCGGGGGGTGCCCCAGGCCGGAGGGCTGGGCCTGGGACGTACCCTAGAGGCCTTTTGCCTCCCCGTGCGTCCGGGGTGGGCTCTCCCATGTCCCAGGCGGATCAGGCGGGTGCTCCCGGGTTCCCACGCTGCCTTGCACTTGCCTCCAGGAACACCCGGACTCGATGCTGGGAGCTGCCGCGCTGTCTGACAGCCTGGGAAGCGACTGTGTGTGCACGGACCCAGGACTCCTTGGAGGAACCCCGGGGTGGTGCTGCGGTGCTGTGGGCATGCCTGGGCACGCGGGTAATTCGGAGGGAGGCTGACCGTGGCCTGCAAGCGAAGGCGCAGTCTAGCCAGCGGTCCCATCCCGTGTGCGGAATGACTTGAGTTGTGTGTACCAATGCGGAGGGGACGTATCAGCGACTGTGTGTGCACGGACCCAGGACTCCTTGGAGGAACCCCGGGGTGGTGCTGCGGTGCTGTGGGCATGCCTGGGCACGCGGGTAATTCGGAGGGAGGCTGACCGTGGCCTGCAAGCGAAGGCGCAGTCTAGCCAGCGGTCCCATCCCGTGTGCGGAATGACTTGAGTTGTGTGTACCAATGCGGAGGGGACGTATCGCGTA